CGATCGATCGATCGTCGTGCCAACACGACACGTACGAAATCACGTTCCATGTACCTCCTCGTTCCGCCTCTAGGTCCCGGACCTGTCCCGCGTTCTCGGACCTCGCAACATCCGGCGCGGCGGCCCGTGGTTCCGGCTTTCTTGTCTACGCGTACCTTTTATCCGAACCGGTCTTAATAAAACGTACTCGCCGTCTGTTTCATCACAATGTTCGACTTTTATCCGCCGATCGGCCCGACCTTCACCAACCACTTTTGTGGCTGCGATCTCCTCACTGCATTATTTCGCTACATCGCAGTGCAGAGGCACAGGGTTTCGTAACAAACTTTTTTTCTTCTTGAGGAAAGTCTCATCGAAGATTCTTAACTCTTGTAACCGTAATTGTTACAGGTGACTGTAGTCGTCCATGTGCCTGGGATATTTTGAGAGTATTCCTTCCTGTTGTCATTGAAGTTTTGTCACGTAGGCTTAAAAACTTTTCCTTCCTTCAATTTCTATAGAGATGAAGTTCTACACCGAACGATTACGAACAAAGAGAGATCCTTTCCACACTGTTCGGTCCACAAATTCAATCTCACTTTCAGCTTAGTCTTAATGAATTTCTTATTAGCATTGTCTCCGAAACAATATTAGAATGATCATTGCGCAACTAGATTTCCAAGAGGCGTACGATGATGAAAGAACAAGTTTGTGAACGAATCAGGGAACGAGTCTGAATAGTCTTCTCGTTCCCTGCACCGATTCCTCCATCCCGATCACGGGATCACGAAACCTGGGGGCGTAATAAATTGCTGGTCTTGTTAATTATTACGCGTCGGTGCACCCGCATGACACTGCGACAAGGCGAAACAGAATTTTAAAAGGGAATCTTCTCGTACTTTTTGCTCGGGCAGTCTCGTTTCCTTTTCGACAAAACCCGCAGAGACAGTCACAATACCTCGTAATCAGAACACAAACGATTCGGGGTTCCATGACTGGTTCCAAAGATGCTACTCTTACAATAAAACGCGCCATATAATCGTCAGAGTTGTGTCTACCATGGAGGCACCGCTTTTTTATGTATCCGCTCGAACGAGCAGAACGCGGCTTGAATTCACACGATTAGACTTCGAAACTGGAGTATAGTACGCCTCGGTATATACTACAAGAGGGCTTGTTCCTCGTTCCACGGTATCCGTTGATTTATTATCATGCTAATGACTTTATGGAACGCTGCCTGTTACGTAATAGTATTAAGTGGGGAATGCTATCACGTCCGACGAAAGAAAGTTATAAAGTCGTTGCACCGATGGATCTCTATTATTTTGAAAAGAGATTCTTCGACCGTCCTCGAAGACTCCTTCCAGGTGAATTTTTTCGGAAAAATCCGTGACACTCGAAAAGATTATTTAAAGAGCGCATGAGCTACGAGACCACTCTATCCCACTGCATCTTCGCAGATAATTATAGGTCATTATGCGTTTCTATCCTCTCGCGAGAACGAACTCTTCTCCTCGGAGATGCGAGATTTTTTGAACGAGTTGTTGCTGCCTGAGTAAACACACGCGTGGCCCCCAACAAAAAAACATCGCGTTGGCATGTGTGACGTGAAAAATATATATCTCGAACATCTTCTTTTCTCTAACTACTTTACGACACGATGTACTCGAACTCGTTCGCTCTCGCAACTTTTTCCCTCTGTTACACGTCCGTTTCGATGGTTTTGCTTATTTTCACAGAGAGATTCATTAAAGAGGCCAGATCTGTATAACCGCCCGAGATTCGGCAATGCTGTTGATCATGTTAGGAGAACGAATCCAGAGATAACTCGGACTGGAAAAGAGTCGGGCCGATTAGAAGCCGGAATTTCTTGTGCAATCGCGGCTCGTTCGTTTTTACAGACGGTTTTTCTTAGAGATAGTGGCCAGCTTATATTCGCAGTTTGCCAGCGAGAATCAGCGAGACTTCCGTCATTCTCCAATTAGTACCGAGAATGGGTGATTCGGCTTCCGTTCTGATAACGCGTCACTGGCTATCGATCGTCGAATATAAATAAGACCGCTTTTTCTTTCCGCTTTATCTGCGCTTTCAGACTGACGGTGCTACCCTTTTCTCCCGTTATCTGTGCCGTTCACCCGTTTTTCCTGGAACGTTTACCGCTCGCGTATCGGTTAGAAAGGGGAAAAAATCTCCAGATTGGCGCCAGAAGAATTAACGCGACTTTAAGACTTTAAGAAACTTCGTAGTTCGTTTCTAACACTCGGAAGTGTGCACACTTGCGATATAAAAGTTCGTGGCGTGTAAAAACTGTCGTAGCATTGAGAGACCATCGTGGGCGAACGTTCGGCATTCAGATCGCGGAAACAATCGTTTATCAGCGTAAACCGATCCGGTGGTTACATCGTTCTCGACGATTAATCGTCGCCACGGTTTACTCTCTGCTTCTCTTCTCAGCTCGGCTTTCAATGCCAGAGTGCGAATTCGGAATTGAAACCGCGGCCCTTGTTACCACCGTGCGTAGTCACGTCCGCGATTTAACGTTTCAGCCGATCGTCCAGCCGGATTTCGTTGCTTAACGACAATCGTCGATTACGCAACGTCGTGTGACGCACGTGCACCTTTCAAGTACGTACGATGATTATTTGTATGGAGAACGAATCCTTCGTACCTCGTAGCTCGTGCAGAGCTAAGGTCAACGATAGTCCAGTCAGCAATTGACTAATAAAATCTAATAAAATTTCTCAATGAATTAAACTTCATTCCAAACTCGTGGAATCATCGCATCGGTCGTTGTTTCAGAAACGCAGCAACGTTGCGCCGCTTGTTTGCCTGATACGTCACAGCGAACAAGAAACGAGTACAAAGACTGATCGTGGCTCGTGGCCCATTCATGAGCATCGTTGCACGAATTCTTTAGGTATGAATGTTGTCTGGGATTGGTCACAAGCTGCCGGTGAAAGCATTGGCAGCTGGCTACTCACACACGCGGCCGCGAACGAGCACACGAAATTAATCTAGTAGTACCGAGTAGTGCCGAGAACACCACCGTGTTGCTCGTGACGCATTCGTGGCAATTACAGTGCTATTTTTCATATTTTGTGCATTGTGTATCGATGGTATCAGTCCGATTTTAATTCTCCTCAATTTTTCAAAGAAAAATTGTAACAGATATTTTCCAATTTAAAGTGTCTTCTGATTAAACGTAATCGCCGTGTTATGTTCCATTTTCTTCGAAAAAGTAAATCACTCTTCGCGAAGATTTCTCGCGAAACGTGACACTCACGGAATGCATAACGTATCACCCGGATAAGCACATCGTCAGATTCGCTCGCGATTACGCACTGTTCATACGGTGAGCACGTGTCAAGTAGTCGATTGTTGCCTCGTCTCATACGATCGTTGCAAAGGCGCCAAAAGGTCTTGTGTCGCCAGGAATTCGCGGTATTACGCAGCAGACAATCGCGTCGACGTGTAGGTCGTGTGCTGCATTCTACGAATTCATTTGTACGACGTCCTTGGTTCTTCCAGCTCCTGGTGACAGGAGCGAGTTCGTTTATCAAACTGAAACACATGAAATTCCCGAACGAAATATAAATGACTGCTGCATCTCAAATGTCAAGTTAAAGTCGTCCACTCACATTCAAAGAATTAATCTAAAGGATCTTAAAATTATTGAAAGATGTTTCGTATGTTGTCAATTTAACTCTTTCACCGGTGATACACCGGCTGTACGAGAGCGCGTGATCAGTTCTCTTGCGTCTAAAGATTTTCCTTAGCATTAAATAAGAACTGTGCTTAATAAAACAATTTGTTTCTTCTAACAAATGTCGTTAGTTTTAATATTAAAAGACGTTTATATTAAATTCTGTTAATTATACAAGTAAGACTAGAATTATATAAGTCACACACAGGTCATCAGATGGACGCCGGTTAATATCATACCGTGTACTTTCAAATTTCTTTCTTGACGTTATTTCTGCGAAATTGCACAAGCACCTCGAGCCTATTTAGAAATTTCCCATTTTATAATAACTCCCATGAGCTGCTTTTTCTTACGCAACACGACCATCTGGACTACGTACGAATTGAATCCTCGCGTACGTTTATGAAAAACCCTTTCTTTCATCCGTCATCGATCGACATCTGGCCGAATTGAACGAAACAATTGCGGTTCGAGCCTCGAGTGCAGATGGCCGCGCTTCGTGTTTCTACAAACGTCGAACAATCACGATTGCGACACTTAACGTTCTTTATGGGGCTGGAATAATAATACCCTTGGTGGCTGGCACAATGGTGGAAGTGAAGGAAGGAGGTGCGGCCACGTAGAACCCACGTGTGGTCAAATTTTTACACGTGCACCTTCAGCGTGAAGAATATATTTGCGTGTTGGTCTTTAAAAATTCTCTTTCTGCGTAATGTCGATGACTTAGATCTAGTTACTGTGCGTCGCGAGTCTCGATTTCGGTTTTAACTTTAGATTATAAAAGCGACAACGATATTGCTTCTTCATCCCTCGTGGAAAGGGCTACGGAAAGGTTTCGATCGAGACAGCAGAGATTGATGAAAGCGGTCATTCATGGCTACTGTACTCCATCGACGTGCAATTTGGCACTGACAATGGCTGGCTTTCAACGGGGTTCACAAAGTGGGGTTCGTCACAAATTTTCCATACGATATTTCGCGTGAAACAACGAGCTGGCTGGATCCGCAATCATTTCTACGAATTCGTAGCAAGCGATAGTCGTGCGTCTAGAATGCACTGTAAAACGAGTTATTAAAGTCTAAAGCCAGAGACAAGAGAGATAAAAATTTCGATGCGCCGAGTTTCGTGTTACTCGCTCTCAACCGCAGGAATTAATCATCTCGTCTTCCCTTACCACGTGTATACAATTCTTCTTTTCGTCGCCACTACCTGATGCTCTTGTTAGCTTCCTCTCTGCACGTACGTTCGAGTCTGCTGAAAGCCCGTGTACACAAGAGAGCAACCGCAATGATTCCTCGAATCAATAGGTAATTCGATGGTGTTGCGTGCACGTAATTTCAGCGAGCTTTCAACTGCATCCATACACACACACACACATTCTCTCTCTTTCTCCATATTGATGCATATTTACTCCTGCGATAATCGTATTTATCAACGAGTCTTCTATTTACGTAGACTTTTCCATCTTGTCATTCAAGTTCCCCCTCGGACAGACGTTTCTATTAATTGCGGTTTCTCTGGCCCGACTCGGATCTCGGATCGGTCAATAAATTTTCATCAATTATCACAGAGGTCAGAGCGCAGAATAACGAGCGAGTGCTCGACGAGATGCACGTTGTAGTGTAACCACCGGCACAGATCTTCCTTCATCATTGGGAAATAGTAATGGAACGAGGCTGGAGATCGCGATTCGAGACCGAGACCATCTGGCACACAGTGCTCCCATTCACTCTTTCTTTCGTGAATCTCCTCCCTCGTTCTCCTCCCTGTTGTCGTAGCGCGTTCCTCTATATCCCGCTCCTTATCCCGTTTTACCGCCTTTGTGCTCTGTTCACAGAGAGAGGTCCCTCGTTTTATATCTTCGCGCGATATCAACCGCCTCGTGAACGTTTGCCTGATAATCGTGTGTTTGCCTTATGGCGCGCCGCACATTACTGAATTGTTGCCGCGGCAACAAAGTCCCGGCTCCATTTCGTGAACCTCTTGCACTTTGTAAGATTTCACCGATTTTTCCCGATGAGTCGAAGCGTTTCTTTTTTCGCTAAATGCAACTGTAGTGCGGCTAGACTGCTTAAGAGCCCACTGACGTTTAAAAACTGACCAAAATGTACTATCGTTGGAGCTGTGCGTCATCCCGCTAACCTAAATTTTAACCGAGATTCCAGCATGTCACTCTCTTGAAACCTTAAAATACACACTAACACTCAAGGTAGATACTTGGCTCAATCGTCGAAAGTTTTAAGTTTCAAGTTGGAAGTTTCACAATTACATATTTGAAAATGAGAAAAATCCTGATTTTGAACTCTTCTTCCAGTTGTACTCGTAAAGATCTGAATTTGCATAAACATCCGCAGATTAAATATTCAATATACGAGGAAAATATTGATAGAACCGGATGACTCGGTCGGTTCGAGGTAATAGTTACTTTTTTTTTTTTTTCAAACACACA